AACTTTATAAGGAACCTAGGACTACAAAAAGGGAATAAGGGTACTACTGGGCATCCTAGCCTTTTAGCCATGTGATGTGTCCTGAGGCGCACCCGAAAAGCCCTGAACCTTGAACCCTACAAGCCCACAAGGCAAATCAGAAAGAAGCGCACCAACCCGTGAACCCTACACCCTGAAACTCGAAACCCTATAACCCACAAACCCCAAAACCCTAATCCCTAAAACCCTGAGTTCTAACCCTATAAACCCCAGGCCTAAAACCCCTGAACCCCACAATCCTAAATCCGAACACCTAAAACCCTAAGCCCCAAAATCCTAAACCCAAACCCCTGAAGACTAAACCCTAAAATCCTTAAACCCTGAACCCCAGAATCCTGAATCCCAAATCCTAACTAACACCTAACACCCTAAGCCCAAGAATCCTAAACCAAGACTACTTTCTAAACCCCTGAACCCCGAAACACCTAAATCCCCTAAACCCTCAACCCTAAACCCCTAAACCCTAAACCCCTGAAACCCTAAATCCTAAACCGGGCCTGGTCCTCCCCAAGTGTAGGAGATCATCTGGTCCCAAGCAGAAAGATAGTTCCAGCCTGTTATGGGCATAGACTATGGTTTAGGGTTTAGGGTTTAGATTATGGCTTAGGGTTTAGGGTTTAGGGGGTTTAGATTATATAGGGGTCCCTAGACCCTAAAACCTAAACCGCGGAATAGCAAGATAGTTCCAGCCTTCCATGGGGTTTACGGGCTACGGGGTTAGGAGCTTACGGGCTTCAGGGCGCTTAGGGTTTAGGGGTTTGGAGGGGCTTAGGGGGTTTAGGGTTTAGGGGGTTTGGGGGTTTAGGGGTTTAAAGTTTAAAGGGTTCTTGCGGAGTCCTCTTAAACGGCTCTTATGGGGCTTGGGGTTTAGATTATAGTTTAGGGTTTAGGGGGATTAGATTGTAGGGGTGCCCAAGACCCTAAACCCTAAACCGCGGAATAGCACGATAGTTCCAGCCTTCCAACAATAAGACTCTGTCTTGAGTAATTACCATCCTCATAGGGTGCTAATGGAAGATTCGATATGGCAGTTTCCGAAGATTGAGGGGTACCATTAAAGTGGGTCCCTCATAATGAGGATACCGCTTGGTTTGGGTACTATATTGGGGTCCCCTATTTTCGGAAACTCCCATATTGGTTCAGGCTTCTAATTTTCTGCAGCTGGCATTTGCGACTCACATCACTCAACATGTTCATTTACACATCCACATCGTCACCACAATATGCTTGCCTTGCACAAGTCGTTGATGTGCCGTCCAAAATTTGCTCACGATGGCTTTTTGTAGTTTTTTGGTTCCAAGCCTTCTTCACCCGGCACTTTTATTGGCGTTCTTTTGTGAATGCAGACATGATGTGGATGTGCAAAAGAGAGGCAGGCCCAAAGTCAGAGTCGTACTGCGCACTGCTGCCGCCAGCCGCATCATATGCACAAGGAGTGTCATGCTAGTGTGGGGAGCGACGGGTATCACTACTGGCGGATGCCAATTTGTGCCATCCCCTTGAGTCCGCGCCTATGCCGGGCCTTCGCAGACGGAACGCAAAACCATCAGAAAGTGCAGTGTCTGCGCTGCCGGCAGGACCGAAGGCATCGCGCATTAAGATCATACTCGTCATCGTAGGGCCGAGGCCCGAGGTGAGGAATTGCTTCCAGGCTTAGTGTGCGATGCGCTCCGTCCTGCCGGCAGCATCTGAAAACCCTACATACCAGCAGAACCACTTCTTCGCGACGCCTTGAACCTGAAGTGAACACCGATCGATCAACATGCCAACAAACAGCGTGTGAGGCAGGAAGTACATGTTCCTACGGAGTCGCACATACACTCACCGAGGCCTCAAAACCCTAATGTAGGTGCCTAAATAATTGCCAACACTATTTCGGGGGTTCCTTTTTAGAATATAGTATAGTGGGCCCCAAAACCCAATTTCATATATGAAACCCTAAACTGAGAAACAATTGGCTGCCCTTCGTTGAGGCCTCCCCAGTCGTGGTTGCCAAGTACCCCAAGCCACCTGCATCAGCGAGTCCCCTAGGGTTTTGGGTTTAGGGTTTTGGGGTGTAGGAATGTCAGGGTTTAGGGCTTCTAGGGTTTGGGGTACATTCAAGCCTACACTAAAGACACAGTACCTGTTTTGGCGTCTAAAGTCCATAAATAATACACACTTACCCTCAAACCCTCAACACAAAAAACAACGACTAGGCCCTGGACCTTACACCAAACCCCACACACTTGTAGACCTTGAAGCCGCAACCCTGCGACCCCAACCTCTCAACCCTAAACTCTCGACAGCCCGCAACCCTACAGGCGGCGACCCTCAAGCTTTCCCCATCGGCCCCATAGTAGTTCCTTTTTGGGGTGCGTATAAGGTAATCCCAAACAGGAACTACTGTGGGGCCTATGGGTAAAGCCCTAAACCATGAATCCCTGAAACCCCAGACCCCAACAACACTAAATGTTGAACCCTCAATGAATCAACCCAAAACCAGAAACCCACAGCTTATCAGATCAAACTCCGACTCTAACGAAGATGCCTTTAACCTGCTTTCAAACCGAAATCGGGTTTTGGTGTATTGCTATACTTGTAACACGGAAGCATAAAAGCTGATACTGCTTCTTCAGCCTTCTTTCTATATACTAGGTTCCTGAGAAGCCCCTGTACAATACGGGCACCCTTTTTCGTACTTGTCGGTTTTAATAACTGAACCCTGAAACAAAAAGGGCAAAAGGGAACTACTTAAAGGATCATGGGACTTAGTAAGTAAGGTTATAAGTAGGTTATAATTAGGGTAACCCCACTTAGGGGACTTATAACCCCATATAACCTACTTACTAAGTCCCATGATCCTCTAAGTACTCAGAAACCTAGTCCACAACCTTCAGATCGAGAACCCCCCACGGCCTGGACCTGAAACCCTAATCAAAAAGACACGCAGAGGGCGGCAAAGGCCCCGACTGCAGGTTATCCAGGGGCCCGTGGTACCTGCAGCTAGGATTTAGGATTTAAGTCTTCGGGGTTTAGGGTTTAAGTTCTCGGGTATTGGCATAGGGTTTAAGGTTTCGGCTTCAGGATTCGAAGTTTCTGGGTTGCTTACGACTTATAGGTGTTCGGGTTCAGGGTGTGGTTTAAAGGTTTTGGGTTAAAGCGTTAGGGGCTTGGGGTAACCGTAGGTCCTAAAAAATAAATCCGACCTGGACCCTCAAAATATGAGAATGATAGCCTTTTCTGCGGTTTTGGCCATTATTTTGCCTACTTTTGGGGGGTCTAGGTAGGTGACAAAGATGGTGTGGGGTTGGAAGGCTTCGGAAGATCCAGGTCCCTCATCCGTTCGACAATTCGAAGGCTTACGCCGGCATTCCGTCTTCCGACTTTCGGGCGTCATGAGGGTAGATGTCAATATTATGGTCCCGTTTTGGGTACCCTAAATATTAGGTGCCGTATTATAAGAAGGACTCAAAAGAGGACCCTAAGCAAACCCTGGATAAGTTGTGAGGAAACCCTAAACCCTAAACCCCTAAACCGGATGGTTTCAACTGTTTGGGGCTTCGGGGTTCAGGGTGTAAACGGGTACTTAAAGGCTCATGGGACTCAGTAAGTAAGGTTCCTTAAAGGGTTCCCTTAATGGGGGTTCCTTAAAGGGATCTATAGGGTTTAGGGTTTAGGGTCTACTTGGAGGATCATGGGACTTAGTAAGTAAGGTTATAAGTACCTTAATTGGGGCTATAAGTAATTATACGTATAGTTGCCCTATTTATAACCCCAGTTGCTAAGTTCCCGGATCCTGTAAATGGAGGTTTCCTTCACACTGACAGAGTCCACAGTTTACAGAGGGTTAACTAGTAACTAGCCGCTTATGATCGAAAGACTGGCATTCTCTGTAAGTCAAGAATGCAACCAGAAGCCTGATTGAGCTAAACAAGCCAGCCAAAGATCTGACAGAAAAGATGACAGGAGCTTAATGCAACTTTTCCAAACATCAACATAGCCATCAACTGCAGAACGGCTAAACCCTGCACCGCAATCTCTAAAGCCCCGACCCGAACTCCTGAACCCTCAACGGAAACAGGTCAAGGTGCGAGGCTGCGAGGTGCAAGAAGCGAGGGTGCTTCAAGGTGCAAGGTGCAAGATGCAAGGATGCCAGGTGCGAGGGTGCAAGGACAACAGCGGCTCGTATGGCGGTGGTGGTTTCCCGCAGAAGACACCATTCATCCAAGGCCTCCGCCATGGTAAGCCGATTTTCGGGCTGGAAATGAAGCATGCCCCGCAGCACGGCCCAAATTGCGTCGGGCATGATGAGTGAATCCCAGACCAGAACCGTGAACTCTGATCATCTACCGTTCCTCTTCAGAGCGAAACCCTAAACCCTAAACCCCTAAACCCTAAACCCCTAAACCCCTAAACCCTAAACCCCTAAACCCTAAACCCTAAACCCCCAAACCCTAAACCCCTAAGCCCCTAAGCCCTAAGCCTGCTGGAAGACTGCCACAGCCCCTGAGCCTCTGCACTCTGCATCCTGGCCTTATAAGTAGAACCAGACTACAAATCCTGCACCCTAACCCCCAAAACCCCAAAGGATCCCTAAAAGAACCTCTTGAGGCACCCTTCAAATTATCCAGGACACCCTGAGTAGTAGTAGTAGTAGTAGTAGTAGTAGTATGTTAGAGGTGCGAACTTGCTTTGGGACTTCACAACTTGGGTATGTGCACAGATGCTACCCTAGCGAAGTCGTTTGCCATGATCGGCAGAAGCCAACCTGCATGAACGTTGGCTCAAGATGACGCAAAAAGGCCCCGCTGAAGCTAGGACTCCGAGTCCGTTGGTAGGCGGTGGTTTGGTCTTGGGTTTGGGGATAGAGGGTAGTCTTCTTGGAAGGTTGCTCCCCCTCGAACCCAGGGATTCGAAGTCTTTCTTTGAGAGTTTGTGTGATCACGATTTTTAGTCTAAGACGACGTAGATTGCGCAGCATGGACCCGGCAAGTGCAACACACGTTCATGATGATCAACAGGTTATGACTGCCCAAACTGCACAGCCAACTCCGCGGCACGCGGGTCAGCTGCTTATGGAGGGAGAAGTTGCAGGGCCTGACTATGATGGTGCCAGGCGGCCTCGGCCAGCCGTTTCGCTGCCTTTGCCGAATGGTGTCCCTTCGACGGCTGTGCAACGACCTCCTGTGGATGGTGTTGAGTTGGACTCACTGAATGGGTCGCCTTGGGCTGCTGGGATGGCGCATGCAGTGCCTCCTGGGGAGGCTCCTGGATCGGCCTTTTTATCAGAAGCCTGGCCAGCTCAACCGGATCCCGTAAGGGAAGAACGCGCCAGCGTAGGCGGTGGCCCCAGGACACCAGTGTTTTCGCCTACTACGTTTTCGTGGGTTTCGAGACTTGGGGAGTTTCTGAGGACGCATGTGCCTAGTGCAGTGGAGACGAGGACGACGTTGACAAGACAGCAGGTGATGGGAGCAGGCGGGGAAGTGCTGAGCCAAGAGAGACTGCAGCATACGTCAAGGCCTACCTCACCTCAGCATAGACGTGGTTTATCTTCCGATCTCCTTCCTGTCTCCAGTGGAGATGGACCGCGAGGGGAAGTTGACCCTCCGCTATTTGGACCGGGAGCTCGTCGGATGATAGAGGGCCTCGTGCAAAGGGCTCCTCTCTTGTATGGGCCCCAACCAGAGCGGCCGGCTACGGATCCCGGCTCTTCTGCTTCGATCCCTCGTGAAGTTGTTCAGGAGGAAGTTCGCCGGCAGGTTCAAGAGGCTTTGGAGTCTCAAAGGCGTTGTATGGAGGAACTTCAGGAAGAGAACCGTCGGTTGCGAGAAGGGACTCGGACCAGAATGCTTCAGGATCCCCGCGATGTTCCTCAAGCTTACTTTGTGGATCATGGAACCGAGCCAAGGCATCGACAGCGGCCTGATGATGGGCAAGGCGTGCCGCCTGAGCGTGGCAATGGGCTTTCTCGTCAGGTTCTTGACGATCGTGCCGCAGCTTTCGGGGTACCTAGGGCAGATCCCGCTGGTGTTCAACGAGGTCTTGGAGTATCTCATGGGCATCGGGCTTACGATTTCACAACAGATGTTGGAGTACCTAGGGCAGATCCTTCTGGTGTTCAAGGAGGTCTTGGAGTATCTCATGGGCATCGGGCTTATGATTCCGCAAGCAATGTCGGAGTACCTAGGCCTGATCCTGCTGGTGTTCAAGGAGGTCTTGGAGTATCTCACGGGCATCGGGCTTATGGTTTGGCTGCCGCTCAGGAAGTATCAGGCGTAGATCCTGCTGGTGTTTCAGGTGGTCTCGGAGTATCACCTGGGCATCGGGCTCATGTGCAGGGTTCGGATCTTCGTGGAAGTGATGGAGCTGAAGCGCGAGAAGCCTACAGTGCAGGACAAGGGAGAGGGGGAACTCGTCTCAGGTCCCTATCTCCAGGCTTGCGTCGCAGTGATGATCGAGGTCTTGGTGGAGGCCCCAGAACAGCGAGTGTGGATAGGAAGTCATCGCCCCTTGGAAGGACGACACAGAGGGCTTCTTCTCCTACTACAAGAGTTGGTGAAAGCGGAGCACGACCGTTCCAGTGGGAGCCGTCACGGAGGCGAAGTACGGGCGGTGGTTCCGAGTTTGTGGATGGCGGCTTGGGCGTCCCGCCTGTGGCTCTGGCATACCGCCCTCCTGGCTACAAGGACTCGAAGACCTACGGTGATTATGGCTTTGAGCGGCCCCCTGGTTTGGAGTCACGTACAGAGGGGCCTGCTGTCCCTGAGGAGGCACCGCAGCCTGCGGCGCCGTTGGATGCTGGAGCTGCCGCCACAGGCCCTGCTGAGCCTGTGGGCCCTTCGCCGATAGATGTTTTGATCACCGGCATGAGCCAGCTGCAACAAGTTCTGCTGAAGCAGAAGAACGATGTGATGGACCTGGAACCTAAGGCGGTGAGCGAGCTCGTGAAGTTGCCTGAGTATACGGCAGAGACAGGGGCCATCGACTTCCAGGACTACTTGTACCTTGCGGAACAGCAGATCGGGACGTTGGCCTCGGGCGCTGGAGACTGGTGGGCTCGCACGTTGCGCGCCGCTCAGACTGCGTATGCCGAGTACCAGACGTTATCTCCGGTTCGTCGACTTGGTGTTGTTGCGACCCTCCCTGAGGACTTGAAGGAGGAGAAGTACAAGAAGTTGGAGCGGAAGGTCGCGGCGTTGGTTTTGGCCTCCCTTCCCAAGGGGGTGAGGGACGACCTCGTGGCGTACAGGGTTCAGGGTGTTCACCAGATCCTGTACCGGCTCATGGTGATCTTCCAGCCTGGAGGTGCCCAGGACCGCGCCCAGCTGCTGAAGCAGTTGGATGTAACGGAGTCCGCTGCGGGGCCGGCTGAGGCTACAGCGGCGATAAGGCGTTGGTACCGCTTGCTACAGAGAGCCTCGGACTTAGGTGTGACCCTTCCCGACGAGTCGCTGCAGGTGAAGTCGCTCTCCGTCATCGTGAAGAAGACGTCGGAGCAGAATGCGGACTTTAAGTTTCGGCTGGCGCTGGCGAGGACCGAGCTGCAGATTGACACTCGTCCCACACAGGACAACGTCATGCGATACCTACAGCACCTGTTGGCCGAGCTGGAGCAACTGGGTGCCATAGCTCGGAAGTCACAGACGGGAACTACGCCTACGACACCTACTACCGCTGTACCGTCCTCCTCGGCTACTACTCCCGCAGCCACAGGAGGAGCATCGCTGAAGGGCTTGCAGCCCGCTCCGGAAGCTAAGGCGAAGCCCAAGGCGGGCCCTGGGAAGAAGTTGTGCTCTTGGTTCAGTTCAGACAATGGTTGTCGCAATGGACGGAATTGTACATTCCAGCACCAGTGGACCGGCCTTAACCGTGGTGAAAGGTGTCTTCTTTGTGGCTCCAAGCAACACAGGGCCAAGGATTGTACTGCTGGCGGTGCGACGAGTCCCGGTGAAAAAGGGCAACCGCCGCCCCGGATCGCCAAGGTTCAACCGGGGGCTTCGACCGCTTCGCAGGCCCCTCACACCGGAACTCCGGTGACCAATGCGGAGCCTGCTCAGGACACCTCTTCGGCTTCGTCCCAGCCTCCGCCTGCCGCTGGAGGCGCTCACAACAAAATCGATGCTGCGAGAGTCACGGAAATTCTGACCGAGACCAACAAGATGCTTAAGTCGTTGACGACGCAGCAAGGCTCTGGAGCCAGTCCTGCTCCTGCACCGTTGGACCCGCTTGAGATGATTCAGAAGCAGCTGGACGAGGTGCGCCGGTTGAAGGTGATGGTGGTTCGGAGCTCTGGGGATGACACTTCTTCTTTTACGAGTGCGTTGTCCTGGTACGAGACGAGATTGAGTTCTTCTATGGTGACTGGTGGAGGCGATGTAGAAGAGGAGGAGGCACTACTTGATAGCGGTGCGTCCCACGCCTACCGCGCGCCGCATTCCGCGACCGAGCTCGAGGCGGCCCGGCGCGTAGGTGTGTCACTTGCGACAGGTGAGGAGCGGGCCATTCCCCAAAATCCCGGAGGCACTCTCTTGATGGAGAACAGCGGTGACGGCACGATATTGCCGATGGGGCAGCTGGTCCAACTACTTGGATGCAAAGTTTCGTGGGAACCCAACAAGCTCACCGTGATCCACCCGGTGCACGGACGATTGCGAGTACGACTGCGAGGCCACTGCCCTGTTTTACCGGTCACCCAAGCCCTGGAGTTGATTGCGGAGCTGGAGCAGAAGCGAATGGCGTCGTTTGAAAGAACGGTGAAGGAGTTCCAGCAGCAGATCAAGGTGATCAAGGAGAAAGGGCTCCAGTCCTGGACGTGGAGGGAGCATCTACAAGCCGCCAGGGAAGGAGGCGATCGGACGCATGTGGCGGGATTCCTCCATAAGAACCCGGTGTTCTCCACGATCAATGCGGAAGCTCTGCTGGGTGTTCCAGAGCATGTTCCTCTTGGCGGGCGCGATGGTTGGAACTTGCTGAAGGGGATGCCTTGGTCTCGTTCCAAGCGCAAGGCCCTTTTCCAGAGTGACAGCTGGGTTGTTCATCTCTTCTCTGGAGAGGAAAAGTCCGATGGGGCAAAACAGCGCGACACTATGAAGAGGTCGTTTTGGGGTGAGGCGCTCACCGGGGATGAGGTGCTGTTGGAGGTGGACTTGACAAGTTCGAAGTCAATGGACCTTTTGCAACGAGATGGAGTTCTTCGAGTGCTGGCGTGGGCCGCGCTCAGTGGAAAGATAAAGTCGATCGTTGGTGGACCTCCCAGGCAGACCTTCCCTACTACCATTGGCCCTTCAAAGGCTGGAGGCCACCATCTTCGTGAAGTTCAATTGGTGGTTCGCATGATGATGTTGTTCTACATGGCGGAGGAAGGAAGGACCGCCCTTTGGAGGACTGGGAAGCTGCGCTCAGCGATTAAACCGCATGTGGGGTTCTTGCTGGAGCATCCCGGTGACCCAGAAGATGGAAGGACTGCTCTCTTCCAGACTCCGTTATGGAAGATGTTTGCCCTGGATAACATGATGGGTGAGGTTCCGCTTTGGATGAATGAGAAGAAGGTTGTTTTGGGTGGAAACCTTGACCTATGGCATCTTCGAGATCTTAAGGTGGGTTCGGATGCAAGGCTGGGCTCTGTGTGGCCTTTGGAGCTCGTCGCTCACATGGCCTTTGCGATTCGGGCCTGGGTGGGACTAAGAAACCATGAAGGGCTTTTGTCTTCGTTGAGAAGGTCGTCTTGGTTGGATGAAGGTGACCCCAAGGAGCTAAACAAGTTCGATGTGAAGGATTGGAAGCTCCACTTGCAACGGGATCACCTCCCCTACCGCAAGGATTGCCGAACGTGCATTGAAAGGGCCAGTGGGAGACCTCACCGACGCATTACGCACCCGTCGGCCTACTGCCTCTCCATTGACACTGCTGGCCCCTTCAGGAATACCGGTGCGGGCGGCTACAAGTACCTTCTTGTCGGATGTTACCGACACCCGAAACTACCTGGGACAAAGCCAGAGGAGGAGCCTGTTGAGTTTCCTAAGCCCGAAGAGGTAGAACCTCGCCCTGATGATGGTGAAGATTGGCTAGGTGATGCTGGCCCAGATCCTGCTGAAGAGCCTCTTGGGGAAGAACCCGAAGGGGGAGTTGGTTTCATTGATCCGGGTGATCAAGATGATCAAGAAGTGGAAGCGTTGAAGGAGCTGGCGGAGCCCCTGGAGTTCGTCTCGGTCTATGTGGCGAGGCCAATGCGATCCCGGAAGAAGGCGGAGACGTTAAAGGCCATACAAGAGCTCTACATCCAGCTCCGCAGTGCAGGCTTCCCAGTAGCTCGGTTGCACATGGACCGTGCTCAAGAATATCAATCGAGCGCACTTGAACACTGGGCGGCGGCAAGGGACGTTGAGCTATCCCGGACCCAGGGCGACGATCCGTCGCAGAACGGGACAGCCGAAAGGGCGGTTGGCTATGTCAAGATGAGGGTCAGAGTGCTTTTGTCTCAGGCAAAGGAGTTGAGTGGCGTTGATGATGACACCATAAGGACTTGGTGGCCCCTGGCAGCTGAAACCGCGGTCTCTCAGCACCAGGCAATGGCTATGGGTCGGAAGTTTCCTTCGGCAGCTCGTTTTGGCTCCCGAGTGTTTACGCGCAGGAAGGGATATGGTGCTGGACGTCCTGATCTCAAGCCAAAGTGGATTGGGGGAGTTTACTTGGGGCCCGCTCGCTCCGTTCCTGGAGGCCACATGGTGTATACTGATGAAGGAAATCTGTGGTTCTCTACGAACATTCGGCAATTTGAGGACCGAGCTGTTGATGGCGAAGAGGAGCGAGGAGGCGGTCCTTTAGTACCTGATTTACTACCAGCACGGCGAGTGACAGGAAAAACGTCCGCAGTTGAGCTGGCCAGCGGTGCTAGCCTACTCCCGGGTGCTTCTGACGGCCCCAGTGGTGGACGGCCCGAAGGTGCGCTGAAGTCGGTTGCGGCGTTGTCGCCAGGTTCTGATTCCGATGCTGATGATGAGTCGTGGACGGTGGTTTCCGATGGTGCTCAGCTGTGTGACCTTGAGGTGCGCGAGTCGTCTTCTCCATCTACTACAACCTCGCACCGTGGTCGGGGCAGCTTGGCGGCTGAGTATGTGGAGGCGGGATGTTACTCTATGGATGAGTGTCTTCGAGTGCTGGAGTCAGAGCCCTTTGTGAAGACTAGAAAGCAGAGAACCTCAGCCTGGAAGGAGAATGGTCCCCCTCCAATTCACACTACTCTCGGCGCATATCAGCGAGGACCCTTTGTGGGAACTACGAGTGCGACGAAACGACATCATTCGTTGGCGCTCTACTTGACGGAGTTTTTGAAGAGGCACTGTGGCGGCCAATGCGAGTTCACATCCCTTACTGTTGCCCGTGACCTTAATACTGAAGTACATAGTGATCGGTTCAACCTACGCAACTCCACCAACTATGTCCTGACGTTGGGCGACTTCCAAGGAGGAGGAGTTTGGGTTGAAGGTGAGGCTGGGAATTATGCGAAGGTTTCTGTTGAGAGCACCCCGGGCGAGATCCTGCAAGGCCATGTCCTCCCGGCCAAGAACCGCATTGTGCAGATTGATCCCAAGAAACTGCATAGGACTATGCCATGGTCGGGGGGGCCTAAGTGGACGGTGATTGCACACACCATCGGAGCCAGGAAGAAGTTGTCTGAAGGAGATGAACAGGGACTCAAGGTGCTGGGTTTCCCGTTACCTGGTGCTTCTTTGTGTGCAATATCACCAGGTGAGTTGGCTTCTGGAACTGAGGTCCCCTGTGGAAGGCAGTGGCGCTTTATGCTTTCTCAGCAGGAGGTTGAGGAGGAGATGATGAATCGCTTGTGGACCAGACGGGTCTTAGATGAGGAGGAGCAGCTTGCAAGTGTTGTTCCCAGTGACCTTGTGACTGAGTACGCAGGGGTGAGCCAGGCAAACGCCGAAGCAGCCACGAATCTCCATTTTCGAGAGACTCGATGCGTGCATGAACGGTGGAATGAAGAACAGTGGTTGGGTTTGTGCCGTATGACTGAGTCTGAAGAAGAGACCTTTGGTGTTGAAACTATGCTTGAAGAGTTGAAGGAACCCCTCAAGGTTGTCTTCACGGTTGCCTTGGATGAGGTAAAGAACTATGCTTCTAGGTGGTCGGAGGCCATGCACAAGGAAGTGAAAGCGCTCCTGGATGCGGGAGCATTGGTTCCTTTGACTGCAGAGGAGCAGGCCCGTTTGGAGGCTTCCGGGAAATTGGTGGTGCTACCTGCCAAGGGCGTCTTCACTGCAAAACCGCCGGATGTTGAGCGGCTAGCTGACGATGATGGCCATCCTCTTCCACAAGGGTCTGTTCACTTTGTCAAGCGTAAAGCACGCTTAGTCATATGCGGCAATTTCCAAGGGCGGCAAGCTCGAGAGGATTCCTATGCGGGAGGTTGCCAGATTGATTCCCTACGAGCAATGTTGGTTTTTGCGGCCTTCAAGGGGTGGCGTCTTGCTTCGACTGATATTCGCAATGCCTTCATCCTCGCCCCGATCAAGGAGGAAGAAGAAGAGGATGACGGAACTGTGTATGGACTGTTCCCTCCCCGTGTTTTTCAGTTGGTTGCTGTGCCCTACTGCTATCAGCTGTGGCGAGTGGATCGGGCCCTGTATGGTTTCAGGCGCAGCCCTCGGCTATGGAGCAAGTTTCGGGATCGACGCCTACGCGGTGCCCGGATACCCTATGATCAGGGCCACCTTGTTTTGAGACAGAGCCGAGCTGATACCAACGTGTGGGCCATTGTCTATGAAGTGGATGGAGCCGAGCCTGAGATAAAGGGCTACCTCAACATCTATGTAGATGATGTTCTTTATGTCGGAATCGCCGATGTGATTGAGACAGTTCAGTCATGGCTTACTTCCGAGTGGAAGGCTTCCGAGTTGACGTGGGCTTGTGAAACTTCGGTGCTACGGTTTCTGGGTTTGGAGATTCAGCTTTGTGATGGTGGTGTGAGGATTGGTCAAAGAGCTTATGTTGATGAGTTGATCCGCCACCACAAGCTGACTGAGAGCAGGGGGTATGGAACTCCTTGTCCCCAAGAATGGCTCTTGGGAGAGTGCGATGAATCCTCAGTTGACTACTCGACGGAGCAGTTAAGGAGGGCGCAAACCCTTACCGGAGAGCTCCTATGGCTAAGTGGAAGAAGCCGACCAGACATCATGCATAGCGTGTGCACTATGTCCTCTCTGTGCGTCAAGAACCCGGAGCTCGTTGAGCGCATCGGTTACAGGGTTCTCGGCTACCTGAAGGCGACTGCTGGGGTTTGTCTGTGGTATAAGCCCTGTGATGCGGCCTACGATGTTGTTGGATACTCGGACGCATCGTTTGCACCTTCCGGTTCGAGGAGTGTGGGATGTTCGGTCGCTTGCTACTACGGTTGCCCGGTGAGCTGGCGCTGTGGTCGTCAAAGCTTAGTAGCTCTTTCCGTTGCAGAAGCAGAACTTCTTGAGGCTGTGAACTGCGTACAGCTTATGAGTGGGCTTGAGAGCTTTGTGGAGGAGCTCCAAGCTACATCTCCCCGACTATGTCTTCGGGTTGATAATCAAGCTGCGGTTGGCCTTACTACTGAGGCTGCTGGCACGTGGAAAACGCGCCATTTGCGTGTGAGAGCCTTTGCCTTGCGAGAAGCGGTGCGTGTTGAGGCTTTGAAAATCCATCATGTTGAAGGTCTTCGGCAACTTGGGGATTTGGGGACAAAATGTTTCCACAAGCCGCGGCTGGAGCAACTACGAGAGCTTTGGGGGCTGAAGGCCGTCGAGGTCGGGGTCGATCAGGAGAGCTCCGATAAGCTTAGCCGGAAGGCTTCTGTTGCGACTTTGGCTATGAATGGAGTAGCGAGTGTTTTGGCACGCCTTACGTTGATCCTTGGTTGGCTGGTCAGGGGTTCTACAGCTGCAGACGACGAGTCCAGTGCGGGCTTGGAGTTAAGTTTTGCTTGGGAACTCTATGGCTTAGCGATCTTGGCCGTGATCTCCGCCATTGCGCTTTGGGAGCTAATGAAGTGGCTTTTGTCGAGGTGTTGTGGTGCCGGAGGTGAACTACCAGAGTCGCGTGAGGCCCGAAGGCTTCGGAAGCTTCAACAAGTTGTTCATGAAGAAGTTGGACGCTATGGCTTGGAGGTTGGAGTGAAGGTTTCTTCGGCCTCTTCACCTGCTGCTGCGCCTGCGATTGCCGCTCCTAGTTTTGAGGAACGAGCAACTACTTCGAGGCCCCGACAGGTCACCCGTGGATGCCAAACCGAGCCCTACGACGCAGGTATGAGACAGCACGCAGGTCCCTTCTTCGCGAGTGAGCATGGTGATCGTGTTCATCATGACCCGAACTGTCGTGGTTTGCGGAATGCAATCCATAGGACAAGACGTTTGAGTTTGTGCGCCTATTGCTATCAGCGCTGTCCGTTGTACATCCCTGATGATCTGTAAAGGGGTGGACTGATGGCAAGCACTCCCATAGTCCAAGGAGGAGTGTTAGAGGTGCGAACTTGCTTTGGGACTTCACAACTTGGGTATGTGCACAGATGCTACCCTAGCGAAGTCGTTTGCCATGATCGGCAGAAGCCAACCTGCATGAACGTTGGCTCAAGATGACGCAAAAAGGCCCCGCTGAAGCTAGGACTCCGAGTCCGTTGGTAGGCGGTGGTTTGGTCTTGGGTTTGGGGATAGAGGGTAGTCTTCTTGGAAGGTTGCTCCCCCTCGAACCCAGGGATTCGAAGTCTTTCTTTGAGAGTTTGTGTGATCACGATTTTTAGTCTAAGACGACGTAGATTGCGCAGCATGGACCCGGCAAGTGCAACACACGTTCATGATGATCAACATAGTAGTAGTAGTAGTAGTAGTAGTAGTAGTAGTAGTAGTAGTAGTAGTAGTAGTAGTAGTAGTAGTAGTAGTAGTAGTAGTAGTAGTAGTAGTAGTAGTAGTAGTAGTAGTAGTAGTAGTAGTAGTAGTAGTAGTAGTACCTCAAACTTTAACCCTAACCTAAGAACCCTGAACCCATAGTAGAACCCAAATCCTGCACCATAACCTCAAACCCTAAACCCTAACCAAAGAACCCTGAAGCCCATAGTCAAAACTTGCACCATGAACATCATCCGAAACCCTTCACTTTACACATTGTCTAACACCTAAACCCGACACTCTGAACTCTTGACCTTGAGTGCTAGAGCACCTAGACCCAGGAGTAACCTAGGAATAAAAAGGGTGCCCTTTTTGGTTTAAAGGGGCTTCTAAGGGAACCTAAACCCTGCAAAAAGGGAATAAGGGCCTACTCCAGAACCTAGGCACTTAAACCCTACACCTGAGACTTTGATTAGATCCTGAGGCTCTGAACCCTAAATCGTAAGACCAGGGAAGCTGGGATCTGCACATCTTCTCAAAGACATACGTCCACCTGGTAGCAGCCCAGAAGACCAACTACGGGGATTCGGTTTAAATAAGGCCCTCTCTGGGAGGAAGTACTTGGAGGCCCTTTTGACTTAGTAAGTAGGGTTAGTAAGGTGGGTTATGGGGTTTCTAATAGGGTTTCTAGGGGATACTAAGTAGACTTACTAAGTCAAAAGGGCCTCCAAGTAGGTTCGATGGTTTAGGGTTACGCATTTAGTAGAGGGGCTTGAACTTCATAGGGTTTCGGGGTACATTCCATTGGGGGCTCAGAACTTACGAGCAAGCAAACCGGGAAACCCTACATTTTATAGATCCGGAGATCCGGACTTGTCGTTTGCAGAGCTAGGCCAGAGTGCGTGGATACTCCTGCGGGCTGGCTCATCTACAGCTACAAGAAACAGACCGCCTGAGGAAAATTACAAGCGCGATACAAGAGAGTGTGCTCATGCCACGGCCATTCACCGTTCGCACAATGTCATCACAATGGTAAAGACACACCTAGCCAGCACCTCGCGTATCTACTTACCCTAAACCCTAAACCCTAAACCCCCTAAACCCTAAACCCCCTAAGCCCTAAACCCTAAACCCTAAACCCTATAATAAACCAACACGTCTCCTCGAAACATCGCGACGGCTCAAGGCTTAGCTGCGACAGCACCTTCAATCACACATCGAGCACCCTGGCGTGGAGGTTTAGGGTTTAGGGTTTAGGGTTTATGGCTGAATAGCTGAGCAATAACCAGTAACCAGTAATCATATTCTCACCTCTCATACTTCATGATGCTATAATAGCCTACCCCCAAAATCCTTCCAAATAGGCGTCGCTTTTTTTTTACAGCGTGCCTTCGAGACCTAACCCAACAGAACTGCTTTCTATCATAGAACATATGAAACCTTGCGAAACCGTGGAGGCCGAAAACTCCACGCCCTAAACCCTAGTACCCCGGAGCCTGAAAACACGAAGCCAAGACTGAGTACTTAGAAATACTATTCAAAATTCCACTTACTCCACTCCCTGAAATCCCTAAACCCTACACCGTTTAAGCCCTAAACCCTAAACCCCATACGGTTGATGATATAAATCCTGCATTACCCACAATAAGGAATATACCATAATTTCCGTAGTTCCGGGTCCTTAAGGTAATGCAGGATTTATATCATCACCCTAAACCCTATACCCTATACATCCCTTAAAGGAGCCCCTTAAAGGTACCCTTATAGATCCCTTTAAAGGAGCCCCAAAACTTGGCATTATGAGCATGACAAGCACTTGAAGCTTGCGCGATATCTCTGAGCGGGCCGACTGTGGGCCCCCATCGAAGGCATCCATGTCCTGACCACCTTTAGGGTTTAGGGTTTAGGGTTTAGGGTTGGGTCTAAGGCTTTTCGGCCTAAAGAACATATTGTATTAGGTTTTGGCCCATTTTGAGCTTTGGGTAAGGGTTTAGAGTGAAGGGTTTCAGGCGTTCGAGATGGATCTCGACATCGATTCATGTGGGAGGCATTAACTCTTCCGTGGGGATTCTGGTCCGCCCAGGTAAAGCTTCCACAATGACCCTGTGAGTGAGACAGAACTGAAAAAAGCCAAAACCCTAAACTGAACCAAATCGCTAGGCTCCTTTGGGAATCAACAGGGTCCAAAGCTACTTTGGCAAGCTGAGGCGTGGGGCTCGACCAGGTGTTGCAGCATTGTCGGCATGTAGTCGCAACGAAATCCGAAAGCCTAAACCCGAAATCCCTTTTTCAGCATGGGCATCAAGCACCATCTTAACCCCAGGTAGCCGGTTACCTTTTTAAGGACCTGTATATGGAAATCATATACAAGGAACCCCAGAAAGGTGGGTTATTTAGGGTTCAGGCATCGTGTGCCAGCGAACACTCCTCAACCCTAAACCCCAAACCGACCGCGAATCCGAACCCCAAACTCCCAAAACCCCGAAACCCTACACTCCCCAAAGGCTCCGAAGAAGGTCGGGCACCAAGGATTGACCTTATAATGGGTTTAGGGTTTACCTTCGCCCAGGGATTTGTACAATGAAATCAGAATAAGGAACCCTATAAAGGTAGGTTCTTTGGGGTTTAAGGTTTCACCTCTACGAAGACACCTTATTCTCCGTGAAAGCTTAACCCTGAAGCACCTAAGATTCGGGGGCCGGGCATTTGCCGTCGATGCCGCCCCAGTAGAAGTTGTCGCCAACCTCGGTCGACGGGTCTCTTCAGCTCTCAGGACTAAGATTCTAAACAAAAGTACCTTGGGCTTAGGATTGCAGGTCTAAGGTCTATGGGGATTCTAAGCAAAAGTACCTTGGGATTTAGGGTTTAGGATTCCAGGTCTGAGGTTTATGGATTTAGGGTTTAGGTGCTTAGAGATTTAGGTTGAAGGATGTAGGGACCCAACGAGCGACGTGCCGCGATGAGGGTTGCCTGGTTTCTGAGTAAGGAACCATCGAGCTTGTAGGTTTTCTGAATGAGGCAGAGCTTGAAGCCAAGCCACTACTACGCGGTGTCGGTTGCGGGGTATAAAGGTTTAGTGCAGGGAACTGGTTTTACTCTTTGGGACTATCTAGTAACAGGGATTATAATAGTAAACCTCACTGTTTCGGACATGATATTTCATTTTATTTATAGTCTATAGTGATTGTAGGACTCAATTCTACGTCTTGCGACCTTTAGATTATGGTTCACTTCTTGGCGGCTTGGCCGCTTCTCTGGAAACAGAGCGAATCGGAAATTTCACACAAAGCCCTCAACCCGGTAACCCTAACCCTGACCGACCTGCAGACGTGTAGTGGCGCATAAAAATGCCTTGCAGCGCCCCAAAACGCTTTGCAGCCCCAAGCATTAATAACATAACTCTACTACAGCCTGCAAACAAACACCCTAAACCCTAAACCCTAAATCCCAACCCGCCAGCCTAAACCCTCGACCCTGGCCCCGAACCCCTTTGTAGACTTCCTGGGAAACGCGGTGCCGTAGCTAGGCCCCAGACATTGATGATGTAGCCAACTCGGTCGTAGTCCTCATGTGTGTCGAGGCCATCAGTTATGGTAAAAGCCAGAAAGTTGGAATATGATTATCCTAAGCCCTTTATGGTAAATTATAGGGTATCCTACCCTGCAACCATATTCCAACTTTCTGGAGTTCCCTTTAAGCATGTGTGTATACTACGGCTTGGGGTTTATCATGGTTTAGGTTTAGGGCTTGAGGGTTTTATCATAGGGATCCTTAGGGGTGTAGGGTACTGTATTTCCTTAAATAGGCCTTATTAGTCCTTATTATGGGCCTTAAGGCCCCCTACCCCCCCTCCCCCTACACCCCTAAGGATCCCTATGATTTTAGGGTTGCGGGGGTGAGCCTTCCAATGCATTAATACATTAGGGAACACTACTACTTCAATAAGTATACTGCGGTACTATTACCAATCATCCAGGCTCTGGAACATCCCATTGAAGCATGCGCTTAGGTTTTCGGGTGTAGGACTTTCGGGTTCAACTTGCGCTTTGGGGCTCAGTACGGAGATCGGGTATTGGGGCATAGTAGGGAAAGATTCACGGTCAGCCGCCCCCCCTAAGCCTTACATAGACCCTGAACCCCTAACCCTAAACCCCCAATTCCCTAAAAAACCCAAACCCCAAAACCCTACACTTCGAAACCACTAAACTTAAACCCTGGACCCCAACCGCCCACGGCCCTACTAAATCCTAAACTCCAAACCGTAGAATTCGGGACTCGATGCTTACCCCCTACATTTCAGGGTTTAGGGTTTGGAGTTTAGTGTGCAAGGTTTGAGGGTTCGGGGTTTAGGGCTTAGGGCTTAAGGCTCAAGGTCTAGCAAGGAGCCCCAAGCAGGACTGTCAATGACTCAGAACCGCCATGAACTGCACCTCTGACCCAATCACAAGAGTCTTCAGCCATTCAAGAAGTCCTCTGGCTTTCTAGCCCCGGTTAAGGGTTAAGGGGGTTTAGGTTCTAGCCCCTCCTACCATTGAACAATGCATTTATGTAATTTAACTGGAGACTTTAAACGCTACGCCCTGGGAAGT